AAAATAATTAGTGTAGGGGATGGGATAGGGAATGTGAAAAGCCATTGTGTGATTGGTTCTGGCAATGATTGTGACACAGATCTTATACACATATGATATCAGTCAAAACACGTGGAGATGTTTCAGTGTTTACACAATCCAAGTTTTATAGTCAAAAGTGACTACTTTGTCTGTAAATTATTCATTGATTGACTCTGGTGATGTCATAGGTCCATAGGTACTCAGCATACAATCACATAAACTTATATTTAACTTGTATACTATTCAGGTCATGCTGCGATTCATCTCATAAAACATAGTAAAATCTACAAAAATATAGCGCGCACATATTCCTATATTGAAGTGTATCAGTTTTTACCTTTTGAATGGTGAATAAAAAAGATGTGATTCCTGAATCCAATTAATAAATCTGCTTTCTTATTGAGGAATCCCACAGTGCTGAGTGTGTCATCTACTTGTATCTCAGCTTGTAATGTCTTTGTTAAATCCCACACTTTAATCATACCATCAGAACTAAGAGAAAGAAGAAGAAGATTTTCAAGATATCGTTGTTAATTATATAAAGTAAGCCAGTTAGAAAGCACCATCATAAATTTACCAACATGGTGAAACATTTAAAACTGTGAGTGTTCCCAAACTAGATAACTATTTCCACAGTAGTTCAAGGAATTTTATGTATAAAAAGGCATCAAAGAAACATACTTTGAGGAAAAATAAGTAATTTGTTTCTGGTTAGTGGGCACATCACAATCAAATATAGTTTATTTTTTAGTAACATAAATATTATACTTGCTCTAATAGAAATGCACATTAACGAAAAATGGCAGTTGTATGCTGTATCATTTTAATTTAGATGTTAACACATCTCTGTCATTTATGTAAGTGTATGTACCACTGATAGAGTGAATACAGTAAACAATCATTTTTGAATTTGATATCACCAGATGTCATTCTGAACTGAGCAGTCTTCATATTACTTTTCAACTACAAAGTCATTTTGATATTAAATGTTTACATAGATTGCCCATGAGAAGAAGGATTATATTACATTTGTGATATATCCTAATATTTAAGAATCACATGAAAGCTTACAGAGTGCCACACTGTTTGATTCTTACCTGCATGTAACGAATATTTCAAGATAATGACAAGCATCCACTTTACTAACAGCTGTTGCATGTTCTCTTTTCTTGCCGCCAACGCTACCAGTTTCATCAAACATAACGCTACCTTGATCGCTACTTACATCAGAGATTTCATCAGATATGTTTGAAGTGTGGGATGTTTTACTATACGTTAGTGGGTCTACCCTCTTCAGTTCATGTAGCTGTACTGAACCAGTAGAATGTCCACACAGAAAATATAATACCCTGATAAACAAAATATACATAAATGTATTAAATGTATTTATGAATACATTATTACACTATACTATACTGTACACCGTATATATGAAAAGAAACAGTTGTAGATCTTTTTACAGTATCTGTACACATCATTAAATTTAATGTCAAAATATTTGTTTCAGTGTACTTTATTGAACTGTATGGATACAACATATTGCCTTGTCTTGTTGTAAGTGCAAATTACCATGCATGTGATAATATAGCATAAATTATGTGACTGAAGAGGCTTGGTGTACATGGGTCATCAAGAATATACAGTTTTATACTACTAAACCAGCATCAGTTGTATTGAATATGTTTTATAGGCATCTAATTTGGCTTGGCAAGTTTCCGAAATGTTCATAAAATCAGAAATTTATTTTTATTCATTTAAAATAGCGTTTCATGTCATCTTGGTATCCATAATAACATTCCAGAGGAATGAAAACAGCAGCAATGTTATGAAAATCAAACCCCCTTGCTATCACAGAATTGACACTGATCAGTGCTTAGGAACTTAAAACTCATCTATGGAATTTTAAATTTAACTTCATGAGTCTAAATGAGGATTTGTGCTATATATATATATACAAATAAACTTACTATTATAGTAAAGTCTGTTATAGTTGTAGCAACACTGACTTCATATAGTAACTCTAGACTAGGCAGTCGCCAACACTGGAATAGTACATCATCTCTTGGGTGACATCGAGTAATTAACATACTGTCAGCAACGTTGTAACGAATATCTAAAATCTGAAGAAAAGGAAATAATGCTTCCCAATCATTCAACCAGCTAGCAGGAAATGGCTATATTCAGATGCTATCAATGGCTGTATTCAGTGGATATCAATCCACTTTGATGTGTCTTTTTATTGATAAGATATAGGAATAGTTTTATAGTTTTTTCTGTTTGAAATTACCTACATGACCATTTTTTATTCTAAAATAATATTTACACTGGCAAAGGCCCAGTCTAATAATTCATCCTCTCGGGAAAAATAATTAAACTTTTTTGTCAGGGTTTATTCAATAAAAAGATTATAATATGACCACATTGAACTGTACAAATCATTTATGATGAGAGAAAACAAAGCACTTTCAAATTACATTACAAGAAGATTATCAACACATGTTTTAAACTCACCCCATCTTTATTGGCTTGTAGGACAAAGTGTCTCATACCAAACACATTTGGGTCCATGAATAACACACGACCATCCTGGGAGGCAAAATAAAAACATGTGTTGTTATGAATTTCATACTACATCACTTGTACAACATTTTCTTTGAATCTTTTTATCTGTCTTTGTGTTATTTTTTAAAATAAAATCTGTGCCAGTCGGTCCACATATTTAATTATGTTCAAGCAAACCAAATATACAAAATCATATAATTGTCAAATATTTACAAAAATCAAGTGAAATATCTGAGTTATTGGAATAAAATCATGACTGTAAAAACATGAAATGAATAAATTTACATAACTTAAATGTTTAAAACACACTTTGGGTAAACCAAACACCTTTCATAGTCAAAAAAATATCCCCATCATGTAACTTGATAATTTGTTCAGCGCCTGTGTTGGTGTTTATGACATGTTTCACTGAATTGGTGCCTTTGATATTTTACTAAGGCAACTTTCACTAGATTATCCAGAGTACATAACTTACCTGCATTCCTAATAGTACAAACATGGTTTTATCGGCACACACAAATCCTTCCTCAGTCCAATACATAGCAGGACAGTTAATTGAGCATAATGAACAACATTCTACTATAGGTTCTATTCCCATACCACCTGTAGCAGTTGCACGGTGATTATGGCTGTTTCCATGTCCAAATAGACCACCTTTTTTACTTGATGGTGGACGACTTCTGAAATAAATGAAATTTTTCAAGTTAATTTAGTATTTTGGCATTGATATTAATAAACAGTATTGATTATTATAACATGGTTTAATAGTCTGAATCTAGCCATCTGATTGGCCAAGCAAAGTCTTATATCTGTGATTCATAACTAGCTTAAATATCTGAAAAGATCACAAAACTGGGAGCACTGTTCACAGGGATTGTGTATGTATGATCAACTGACCAAAATAGGAAACCCTGGTACAAGTAAAAATACTAATTATTGTTGCCGAAAATGCTAATATTATTGTGTATTTGGCTCGACATAAGCAAATACAAAGATTCACGACTAAAGACATTTAATTTATTTTTTGCTTCTTTTTTGTGTGTGGGAAAATGCTTGATCGGTATTTAACCCCAGTTAGTTGAAAAATACTAGAATTTGTGTGACTTTTCTCATGTGCCTAGTCCATCTACGCATAAGTTCTATTGAGTCCGCTCTAGAAAACGAATTAAACTCTTATCACTAAAATTAATTAGAATGCCAGTTTACACAAATACAACACAAAATTTGCATGAAAATCATTAAATAATGCAATATATTACTACTACATGTAGGTGTTTTTAAAAACCAACAACACTTCATCTTTCTTAGAAATAGCAGTGTAATCCAAGAAAAGACATTGGTTGAATTGAAAATTTACACATAGCAACATGATATAAACAGCAATTTTGTGACATATTTCTCATATGATCACATTATAAGGAGGTTATAAACAGTATGCTCAGGGATTTGGTAGCGGATATAAGACCTTTCTGGGGGAAAATTAGCATATAAGCATGGTTATTTTTCTTTCAACAAATATGTTAATTTTCCCAAGATAGGTCTTATATCTGCTACAAAATGCCCTTGCTTGCAGTTTATAACCTCTAATTAAAAGATCAGTGACTATCTTATTTGCATAAATGACAGGCTTATATAGCAATTTTTTTTAAAACAAGAGAAGTAGAAAAAAACTACATTGGTGGCGCTGTAGAATCATCCTCCTGCTCCTCTTCTTTCTTCTGTTGTTGTCGGAACATTAACTGCATTGTATGTAAATTCCAAACATGTGTGCGAGTGGCAGGATCACTCCTGTAATATATTCAAGAGAATCATGTATATTTAGCCATCTAGTGAAGCAATGTTATAGTCAAAACCACAACTATGCTGAAAACAATTTTTTATGTTCACAAAAATATCCAGAGTCAGTGACGGTCATGAAATTTTGCAGTAGTAAACATTTAACTGGAAACACCATCAGACAGAGATTTAGAGAGTCTTTCTCAATATGATATCTTCATGAACAGAACATAAACTGTTTACGTATCATGTAACCTCGCAGAAAAAGCAGCGTCATCTATATTATATTAGACTGGTGCAGTCGGGGCGATTTATTTGTTTTTGTGGTTAAAATAAAATAAAAAAATTTCCTGTAACTGTGACTGGTTCATTTTGCATGGCCCTCTATCGACACTGCAGAAACCTGTGGATTTTTCAACGGGTAATTATGTTAATGAGTGTTCTAATTGACAATCATCTAAGCAAATCACAACGTCTCTTCAACTGACCTTTGACCGAGAAGACGTCGGCTGATTGTAGCAGCTGATTTTTTTTTTAATTCTGCGACTAGTACGAGTTACTTTTTAAGTCTATTTACGATGACTACGACAAACTTGAATTTCAACGTGCCGTTTCAACATTGGGTCTGCAGTGTGACCTTTACCATGTTGACCTCATTATGCACGTATTTCCATGCCCACCTCATTATAGTATGTGCATTCATGAATATTTAATAGCAATGAATTTCCTGCAGAATAAACTAGTCGGGGTGATTTCGCGCTAACACCTCCATTTCGCAAAATTTGGTATTTTATTTAAACTACAAAAACAAATTAATCGCCCTGACTGCGCCAGTCTAATATTATATCAACATATAATACTCGCATAATAAAGTTGTAATACATCACAAATAAGTGACTAGCGTAGAAAATTAATGAATATTGAAACCATTAGATTTAATATAGTAAAGTATTGTTATAAAAACATGGGTATGTAACACTTCAATATTTGGTGCAAGAGACTTACTTTGTTGAATAAAGCCAGACTTCATAAGGTCTTATTAGAATATATACTATGTTTAATTCTCTCAGATATGATACAGCTAATATATGCTGCAATGGTGATATTGGTGGCGGTGGTAAAACAGTTGACAGGTTTTTTTGATCTTCAATAGAAATCATTCTTATACTGGAACATAAAACAATAACAAATTACCGGTACATTGCATAAAAGGCCAGAACAATTGTGCTGTATCAAATAAACTAATATTTCATTAGTAACACTGGGTAG